GCACATAGCATCCCATGCTAGATGCATTTTTATTTTTTTTAAAGCCACACTCCGGCCATTGTCAGTGGCCCTAATATAACCCAACCTGTGGGTTTATCGGGGTTTCTGGGACCTGTCCCCCGGTGATCCTTACCGCATAGTGGCACTTTATGTCACCGATTGTTTGTCACTCGGTGTGGTGTCCTGGTGGGGTTGAACATGTGTGTGTGTATACAAACACGTATACAAGCATTCCCACGTGGGTGTGCAGACGTGCATGTTTTGATTTTATATATATATATATAGTGAGAGAGAGAGAGAGAGAGAGAGAGAGAGAGAGAGAGAGAGAGAGAGAGAGAGAGAGAGAGCATTGCCAATCAGATGTCTCAAACAACATTCTATAAATTATCAAAAAATGTTAGCATTGCAGCGAAGATTGCAGCAGAGGAAGCGATAAGCCGAGCAGCTTTGATAAACATTTTCCTCGCAAGCAGGTAGCATCATCTACCCTGTTGTAAAAAGGTTGACAGACCCAGATCTTCTTCAACGCTGTGCTAAAATGAGTTCTAAGAATGCCAATGAAAGCTTCAACGCATTGATTTGGCATCGCTGTCCTAAAACAACATTTGCTTCAATGTCAGCAGTGGAAACAGCAACTTCCCTTGCCACTCTGACTTTCAACTGTGGTCCTGTAGGCCTAAGAATAGTATTTGAGAAAATGGGACTGGAGTGGGGACTTACAAACAACTTGTATGCTACAAGAATGCTGAAAAGAAAGTATTATGATTCGAGAAAACAAACGTTAAGTCTTTCGAAGTGGAAGAGGAAAAACCAAAGCTAAAACACCAGCATGAAACAACAGAAGGGAAAACCTATGCTGTTAGGGCCCTAATATAAATTGTTAAATTTAGGTGACATTTTTTGTGGATACGATGCAGAATACAACAGACTAGGTTAGAACCCTTACTTTCTTTATTAATTATATTTTGTGTGACTTTTATTGTTTAAAAGTCTGTTTTCTCTCAATTCTATTTTTCTGATTGTTGTGTGTGTAGAATCTTAAAATCTCAGCTACTATGAACACTATAGACAAAATTTGGTATGGATACTCCTTACAAAATATTATAAACCTTTGGTGTATTTAAACATTGATTTTAGGAAGTTTTTTTTATTTTTTTTTTATTTTTAGGAAGTTTAAAAAAAAAAAAAATTTAATTATTGTCCTATGATGCTACTTTTTTTTTTACCTTTTCAAAAAAACCTAAATTTTAAAATTCTAAGTGAAATATTTAGAAACATCTTTAAAGTAAATAAACTACACCATTGCCTCAGTCTTTGATTAAGGTTCATGAATCCATCATCTATTTTTCAATACCTATGTTTGTTTTTGCAATTTTTTAACTCTATGTACATGCTGTTTTTCCCCAAGATGGCGGCTGTTGCCATGGCAACCATAATTTTTTTAAACTTGAAGTGTTCAAATGTATTAACATACATCCCTACAAACTACTGTTATAAAAGAATTGGTTTAACATTTTAAATAAAATTTAAAAAAAAATTGTGTGTGTAGTGACCCCTTTAATCAGTAATCATTACATTAGATATTCAACAAAGTATTTGTTGGTAAACAAAAAAGACCCCCCCCCCCCCCCATAATTCCAACACCAGGATAGCTTAGTCAACAGAGGGCTGTGATGTGGAAATACGAGGACGCTGCTGTAGAAGGTTCCAATCCCGGCTGATACTACCTCAGGAAGAATAAGGACAATGATATACAGGGACGCACTACACAAAATACGCACGGATTACACAACACACATTTAATACAGATTATACAACATAAACTGACAACAGTTACACAACACATACACATGGACTGCACAACATACATTAACGGATGCATACGGAGAACAGTCTACACAATATATGCAACATACTCAGGCTACACAACTATACATACTATAAAATACGGAAGCACATTACAAAACATGCAGTTAAACCTGGACAATGCATTAAGACCGACTACTCGATGCCAGTAGATTTAACACACCCAGTAGGATGCTAATTCACCCAGTAGAGCGCTAACTAGGGGGAGGATGCACATATGGACATTTCCAGACTGCAATGATCCCCCACGATTTTTTTAAAAATCCGCAGTGTCTATCTTTCACAGCCAGAAAATTCAGGTCTTCCGTTCTCCTTTTCAGTTCCAACCCAACCTGAATAGTTTGCAAACTCCAACAACCTCAAGCTGCATCAGCAACTGCACAGTTATTCTCACATTGAGTTGTCTTATTATTCAGGCGGATACACAGCCTCTGGTAGCTCCATTTGGACGGCACTCCAGTCATGTTTATACTCAGGTTCCCACTCTTGAAGGAAATAATCTGCAACCCATGATTTAACACTACTGGTCTTATTATAACACTATCAAGAAGTCTGGTGCCCCTGTTTGCCAATCTTTACTCAGAAGTCAGGTGCCCCTGTTTGCCAATCTTTACTCAGAAGCCAGGTGCCCCTGTTTGCCAATCTTTACTCAGAAGTCAGGTGCCCCTGTTTGCCAATCTTTACTCAGAAGTCAGGTGCCCCTGTTTGCCAATCTTTACTCAGAAGTCAGGTGCCCCTGTTTGCCAATCTTTACTCAGAAGTCAGGTGCCAATCTTTACTCAGAAGTCAGGTGCCAATCTTTACTCAGAAGTCTGGTGCCCCTGTTTGCCAATCTTTACTCAGAAGTCAGGTGCCAATCTTTACTCAGAAGTCTGGTGCCCCTGTTTGCCAATCTTTACTCAGAAGTCAGGTGCCAATCTTTACTCAGAAGCCAGGTGCCCCTGTTTGCCAATCTTTACTCAGAAGTCAGGTGCCCCTGTTTGCCAATCTTTACTCAGAAGCCAGGTGCCCCTGTTTGCCAATCTTTACTCAGAAGTCAGGTGCCCCTGTTTGCCAATCTTTACTCAGAAGTCAGGTGCCCCTGTTTGCCAATCTTTACTCAGAAGCCAGGTGCCCCTGTTTGCCAATCTTTACTCAGAAGTCTGGTGCCCCTGTTTGCCAATCTTTACTCAGAAGTCTGGTGCCCCTGTTTGCCAATCTTTACTCAGAAGTCAGGTGCCAATCTTTCCTCCAATTTTATTTTTAGCTGCAATGTGGATCTAGTGTCTCAATTAAAACAAATCCTCCCATTGTCCTTTCATCCCCAAAGCACTGCCAGCATGATCCATTAGGTAGCTTTGCAAATATTCCACCACAGTTTGTTTCTCCATTTTCTACTTTATGGAAACACTTGCAAACCTCAAGTTAACAAGACTTAAGATTTCATTTCTCAATTTAAGCATCTTTCAGAAGATGACTTGATCTTCTTATACTAACACACACACACACCTTCCCCACTTACCACCAAATGTACCACCGGGCATTCACATAAGCACTCCCTCCCCATCTTCAGCAGCCAGTAAAGAGTTCCGATGCTAATGGTGCTAGTAGCATTTTGATTAAACGACCATCTTGCCTTTGAGCCTCTTATCTGCCAGAACCTCTCGTCACTCCCCCCTGCAATCTCACCAGACTGTCGTGATCCATCTGCTCCTCCAAACTGTACACACTCTTCCACAAAAACTTTTTTTTTTTAATGGCAAGAGACACAGCTAATCACAGCATCCTCCGTTGTTCTTACACATATATAGAGTCACACTGTTCAAATCTGTTACTATCTTTACATCCTTTTTAGGACGACATTTTTTGTTATTTGAAGCCCCACCCTGGCTTTTGCCAGGGGTGCAATATAGGCAGGCCATAAATATGGCCAATTGTCTGATCGCAGTTTCCATGGCGATCCTCATCCACATGGTGGCACTTGGTGTCATCGGGTGTTTATATCGCTTGTGTGATGTCTTAGAGGGGTAGAAAGTCAGTCAGTCAATTATTTTACTCTTTCAGTGCTGGTAAGTAAAGTACAAACCATCTCACTACAGCATACAATAAAGTAAAAAATGCACTCAATTATACTAACATAAGAAAAAAACAAAAAAAACTATAAAAATGTGCTGTAAATGACTCACATTTATTAAACAAGAACTCGGGTTCAAACAAAACTACACTAGCTCAACATGATTAATGAACTCTGTTTACAGGAATGAATGAATGACAATACTGCAAGCAGAAAGAAATGCCCATCTTGCAACAGCAATCCGAGTCTGCCAAACTATCCCCGACCACTGATTGCATACCCCACTGCAAAACTGGTTTTCCCCTGGCGTGGATGCAATTTTTCTTCACTTATCTACTCAATCAAAGCATCTTTGTGCTAATGGGTACCATGGTGACAGTAGTCACAGCCTGCTCATGCCACCCCTACCTGCTGTACTGGTAGAAAGGAGGAACTACTGCCACTTGCATCAACCCTGAAGCCCCAAATTAAAAAAAAAAAAAAAAACCCCAAAGAAATCAAATGACAAGGAATGACCTTTCTATCCTTCCATGCCTTCAGTGCTTTAGGCATATAGTGCTTAGTCTTTATTTTCATAGACCAATGAGCCCTTGATGGCATGTCTCACACTGGCCACCTTTACTTCCCATGACATTATTACCTTGTACACGTACCTAGGAGCCAGGGCATATTTTAACCCTAGACCTTTGGGCCAGCAGTCAAACATTCAGCCATTACAGCAGCTCTCAAATTAATTAGGAAATTAAAAAATTAACACTCAACATATAAACAAACCCAACAGAAACAAAAATAGTAAAAAAAAAAAAAAAAATGCCTTAATCAATTTTCAGCTCCTTACATTTCACATTCTTGAATGAAAGCTGTACTAGATGGCTGATAAATTTACCATTCAAGTTTCATCATTTACAAAACTCTTGTAACGTCAAACAATGCAAAGGGACTAGGATTGAACTCTATGCACTATTTACCATGTCTTGTTTAGTTGAACATTAAAGTATATTCACTACTCGTAGAAATGCATTATCAACAAACAACCTTTAAATCAACTGATATCATTGAGTAATAAACAACTTTGTGAAGTTCACTCTTTGCATTTGATGTTCACAGGAATAGGGATCTCCTTTGGTTCCTCGCAAGGTTTCTTCTGAACTCTGATACTGAGAATTCCATGGTCGGTCAATGTAGATGTGATCGACTTTGGGTCAACGTTCTGTGAATAGAATTAAATAGATATTAAATTATTTATTATCAGATAAACATAGCCTAAGAGATGTCAAAAGTACCCTGTCATTTTTAAAATGTAATGTCCATATACAATTCTTTTTCTTTGCGCTCACCAGCTGTAAACTCTGGCGGAAAGGTCTGGTTGTTCATCCACTTCTGGACTGCAGTCCTGTTCCAGTATGTTGCGTGTGCATCCGTTTTACAGATCTAATTTGTATGCAGACTGCTGGCTCCTTGTCTCTCAGGCAGATACACTCCGACTTCAAAGAAAGCTCCCAATTAGTCAACTCTCACAACATGCTTTTGGGCAGGCAGTGGGTCTATTCTCGTTTTCCCTATAATAAATAGGGCCCTGGACACTGTGTCAAGATTTCAGTCTGCACCTTTTGGTTGAACAGAATAATTTCAGTAATTCTTTAGCTTCCTTTTTATGCATGAAGTATATGTTAGGGCTGCAATGAGGTAAATGTTTTTGGAATAAGACCCCAACATTAGAGATGAATAAAAGAGCAAAAACTCGCTAGCTCAGAAAGGGCTAGCAACAAACCAGCTAAACACAGCGGTTCCAATAAAGTAAACTGAAAAGAAAATAAACTAATGATCCAATTCCCTGCACTCTGTCCGTTCATGTGTGCGTCCGTGTTCTCTCTAATATGACCGTCTCTGCCAACAGAATAGCTAGCTAGCTGCATGCTGAAATCACAGCTGCTTCTTCTGCCTGTTCACAAGTTGTGAATTATGGCAGAAAGTTCTGGTTCTTCATCCACTTATAGACTTGGGTCTTGTTCCACAACTTCAATTTTTACATGCACATCCATTTTACAGATCTGGCTTATTTGTACCCAGATTGGTAGTTGCTCACTTCCCAGGCAGATGTACTCCGACTTCAAAGGAAACACTCCTATCACTGGGAAGACAGGTCTATTGTCTTCCCCCTCCCCCAAAATAGGGGGCCAAAACCCACATGGTGAAAGGGCACAGCAAAAAGCATCAATCAACTTTGTAGCTTCAACAACAATCTCCCAGGGATCTCCATTAGAAAGTGCACTGCAATTTGTTGCTCAATTAAAATTAAAAAAAAAATTAAACAAATTAAAAGGTAGACTTACATCCGGCAATTTGAAAATTCTAGTAACGTGGCGCTGCACTAGTCCACATTCGTCCTGCTTCTGCTCATGTTCTGCAGTAACTGTGACGCGATTGTTGTCCGAAGAAATCTTGATTTCTTCTGGTTTGAATTCCTTCATTTCCATGCGAACACGGAACTCTTTATCAGTGTCGTGGACCTGTAAGAAATTATACAGGTTTTTTCTCATGTCTCATGTGAACAATGACCAAAACAATTTATATTTTAAAATTAATATTACTTACGTAAAAAAAAAAAAAAAAAAAAAAAAAAAAAAAATTATAAGAAAACTGAGGCTATCTACCGAATAATGGGCACAAAAGATGGCAGCCAAAAACAGGGCCTCGGTCACGTGTCAATTGCGCACTTTCGACCACCTAATTTGCAATTTTCCGGCGACTACCGCCACCGCCGAGGGTATCCCCCACGCTGATGAGCAACATGGATTGGGGCTAAACTAGATGGCTGGGACTCACAAGCAGCAGCTTCCGCATTTCCTGCAGCTTTGCTCGTGAGTCCTAGCCATCTAGTTTAGCTCCAATCCACGCCGCATGAGCGGCGTGGGGGATACCCACGGCGGCAGTGGTTGCCGGAAAATTACATTGCAAATTAGGTCGTCGAAAGTGCGCAATTGACACGTGACCGAGGCCCTGTTTTTGGCTGCCATCTTTTGTGCCCGTTATTCAGAGAGTAGCCAAAACTGATTACTAGAATACAGCTGTGACGCCAGGCTCACATTTTTATTATAGACATGAACTCTCTCTGTGGGTGTGACGTGGTCAGCATGATGCCGGCCTCCTTTACATCCCAGGACATTACCAAGCAGGTATTTTAGGCTGGGTTGACCTCGGAGCGATGTCAATTCTTTACATCCCAGCCCAGGACATTAAGCAAGCAGGCATTTTAGGCTGGGTTGACCTAGGAGCCATGGTCAATTCTGGATGGAAAAAAAACCCGGCCTCAATGCAAATTTAAACCCAAGGCCTTAGGGCTGGCAGGTTGGTATCTAGCCATTTTGTTCCCCAAGTGGCCATGGAATAAAATATGCACTGATAAATGATTGTGACCCTCACGAAAGAGGAACTCAATTTTTGTTTTTGTCAAGGACAAATCTCAGGTGTGATGCTGACCACATTCCTCTTTGGAAAAAAATAATCAAATAAAATATATTTACGATTAAGGTATCATAATTCATTAGTCTGCATCAAGTGACAGTAGTCATGTTGGTCCATTACCTTCTGTCTCATGCACTTTTCATTCAGTTTTAACACTAATGGTCTTCAATGCCAAGATGTCAAACTGTTAATTATCTTCATGCTTTTCTCCCTCTGCCTCTCTTCCCCTCCAACTTTCCCATTGTCACTCAAGTTCTGCTCCTTATGACATGACCACAGAATTAAGATCGCCTTTCTCTCTCTCTCTGATCTAGAGAATCGGTTTTCTTCGTTAGTTTCTTTCAAGACATCTCCACTACTCCTTTTATATGTCATGCAGACATTTCTGAGTGTCACGTACAGTTTATTCTTAACGAACTCTAGCATTTGCTATCATCTGGAATATATGTGCCAATATTAAATTATTACACTTAAATTAAGGAAATCTTGAGGAAATGAGAATCACCAAGCAGGCACCTAAATGGGATACAACTGAGATGAAGATACCAGGACATCTGAAAGATACCCTAAGATAAAGGCCGAGTGAGGCAAACGTGCTAGGCTGGGCTACGAATACTCTGAAAACTTTACTCTTACAGTTCCAGGGGACTCTGCATCAGAGCCCTAAGGGGTAGAAGGGTAGTAGTTAGAAAAGTAAAATCGATGCATCTTGTGTTTACTGGGCTTCTAGGTGTGATGCATTCCTTGGGACTGAACAGAGTTTGTTGCCACTTCATATTCCATTTATAATTTTGAAGGTTGAACAGGATGTTTATGGGAAAATTACTACTACTGCATCCATAATAATGAAAGGATTTCAAAGCACAGAATGGAATAAAGGAATGAACTACGAGACTTACGTAATGGCACAGCAGAATTATGAACATATAACTCTGATGGTTGAACAACAGAATTTAGGAAAAATACCACTGCCACTGCTAATACTCCTACTACTGCTATTGCTGCTTCTACTACTTCTACCCACAAGGCCATTTTTTTGTTCATGTCGGGAGGCATAATTTGTGTCAGAGCTGCTGTAATAGATACTGTGGTGAGTACACTCACAGGCACCTTTGAAATTGTTTGTTGTGAGTTCCAATGCTTTTGTTTCTAGAAAATACAGTGCACGAGCATCTCAGCTGTGGCAAATTTCTGTTGTGAAGTAAAATGTGTTTATTCACTGCACATTTTCTTGCCTTAATTACTCTCCCGATAAGAGGGATTTCTGTTCAGAACAATTTCTTAGGTCCCTGTTATTTCTCCCTAAAAATAAGCCAGATACGTAAAAACAGATGTGCACACTAAAGTCCAGAAGTGGATAAAGAACCAGAACTTTCCAAAGTCCTGGCGAAGAATGAGGAAACCAGTGCTGACAAAGAATGAGGAAACCAGTGCTGACAAAGAATGAGGAAACCAGTGCTGACAAAGAATGAGGAAACCAGTGCTGACAAAGAATGAGGAAACCAGTGCTGACAAAGAATGAGGAAACCAGTGCTGACAAACAAGGAAACCAGTGCTGACAAAGAATGAGGAAACCAGTGCTGACAAAGAATGAGGAAACCAGTGCTGAAAAAGAATGAGGAAACCAGTGCTGACAAACAAGGAAACCAGTGCTGACAAAGAATGAGGAAACCAGTGCTGAAAAAGAATGAGGAAACCAGTGCTGACAAAGAATGAGGAAACCAGTGCTGACAAAGAATGAGGAAACCAGTGCTGAAAAAGAATGAGGAAACCAGTGCTGACAAAGAATGAGGAAACCAGTGCTGACAAAGAATGAGGAAACCAGTGCTGAAAAAGAATGAGGAAACCAGTGCTGACAAAGAATGAGGAAACCAGTGCTGACAAAGAATGAGGAAACCAGTGCTGACAAAGAATGAGGAAACCAGTGCTGACAAAGAATGAGGAAACCAGTGCTGACAAATGAGGAAACCAGTGCTGACAAAGAATGAGGAAACCAGTGCTGACAAAGAATGAGGAAACCAGTGCTGACAAAGAATGAGGAAACCAGTGCCGACAAAGAATGAGGAAACAAGCCCTAATGAAGAATGAGGATAAAAAGCCCTGATGAAGAATGAGGGAAAAAAGTTGTTATCAGGTCTGCTGTGTACCACTGTACCAGTAACAGGCGCTGTGGTGAACATGCACACGTTTTTGTATCAGTTTGTGGTGAGTGACCTGTAAATTTTATCTTCTAGAAAATATACTGAACTGCGGACAGAGAGCTTTAGATGGATAGATGTTACAACTACGACACTATCAGACCTACCTCAGACTCGGCCAGTCGTGTTAGGGGCTGTCCCATGTAACGTGTCATCACCGCAGGCCAACGAGCAAATTCATCTGCCATTCGCATCATGGGCCCAATCTCCTCGGCAATAATGCGTGGTACAATGGAAAACATGATGACTGCTTCTCAAAGTGAATTTCTCTGCAGAAAAGTTCTCAAATCAGACAAACTCAGTCAGTTGTGTTTTGTATTCTGCTGAAGAAAACTGAAATATCGATCGCCGATATTTAACTTGATCGCTTTTAATAACGTTAAACTGCACGTCTGCCTTCGCGTATTGAAAGTCGTTGTTTCTCTGGTAATTTTCACCTTGGCTGTGTTTATATAGCTATGTCGTCACATAACGACCTTTCTAGGCATTCTAGAATTTGCGCATCTCAAATAACCCGCTAGTAGTGCATTCAAGGCCATTCTAGAAGATTTCATCAGAATCAAGAACCACGGAACCACCTTGCTCCAAATGGAAAATTTCGTTGCATTAGTAAAGTGAATAAAGTCAGATAAGAAAACGTCACCTGAAAAACGACAATAGAATCATGTTATTCGAAAACAAAGTTGTAAATGCAAGAAAAAACGTAATGCCTTTCTTTCAGACGTCATTTCATGTTTACAAACAAAATTACATGCCAGTTTGGCTTTAAAAAATGTGGACATTTAAAATTGAAAAAATTTTTTTTTACATTTGCAAAATGTTTGTTTTATAAATTTCTTGGTGAAATTGAAATTTTTAGTTTATTTGTGTTGAGTTTTTAATGTATGCTTTTTAATTAAACATGAGTGCTGAAATAATTGTAGCAAAGGGTGATTTAAACATTAAAGTCGAATTGCCACTGGCCGGCCAGTTCAATGCCCAGTTAAAAAAAAAAAAAACTTTGTTGTCATATACACCAGAGTACAGCTGTATCTTGCTTCTCTACCTTTCATTTTTATCTTCTCTTCGTCAACTTCTACTTGTATTTCTTTCCGTCTACTCCTTCTCCTCGTCATATTCTTATCTTTCCTTCTTTCATTCTCTGACCCTCTCCAATTCTGCTTCAACTTCACTCCTCCTCCTCTCCTTCTTCTTCTTCTTCTTCTTCTTCTTCTTCTTCTTCTTCTTCTTCTTCTTCTTCTTCTTCTTCTTCTTCTTCTTCTTCTTCTTCTTCTTCTTCTTCTTCTTCTCCTCCTCCTCCTCCTCCTCTTCTTCTTCTTCTTCTTCTTCTTCTTCTTCTTCTTCTTCTTCTTCTTCTTCTTCTTCTTCTTCTTCTTCTTCTTCTTCTTCTTCCTCCTCCGCTTCTTCTTCATGTCTTTCTTTTTTTAACCCTCCCAACCTTCCTTTCTTTTATTATGTCATCCTCCTCCTTTGTCTGCTTTTCCCCATCCCATCCTTCTCTCCTTCATGTGGTGCATAGACCCACAACCTACTTTAAAAACTGTTAAGATCCGTGGTAGACTAGAGGTGTGACTGTGTATCCTTCTTTTGTCCGGTATTATTTTGTTTTGAACTTAGTTTTGATCTGACTGTTTACAGTAGCGCTTTGATATATGCGCCTTTCAGCTGGCACACCGAACGTATTCCGTGCTGACTCGGTAACCCATTCTAGATGTATTTTTTTTAAAGGACACAGAGCAGCCTAAATGTCGCGAAGTCATCTTCCCTCCTAAACATAATCATCATCAATTTCCACTTCTGCCGTTAAGCGTTGTGGGGAGGAACAATTTTCGATCCATTGCTTGATTGGCAGCAATAGCTATTGTCATTTCTTGTCGATGTAGAAGCTCTTCAATTTCCATGTTCTCTTAGGGCGGCCTCTTGATTTCACTGCAGATATTTTCATGTGTAGCACCTGCGTCGGTAGTTGTTCTGGCTGCTTTCTTATTTTATGACCAAACCATTTGATCTTCTATTTCTCAGTGAATTTGCTGCACGGTTTGTTCTTACCTGCTGTTTGATAATATCATTTCTAACTTTGTCTCCGATGGTTAAGTTGACAACTTTTTTTCAGGCATCTTTTTTCACAGTTATTAATTTTACGTAGGTTAGCCTTTGGTAATGTCCAAGTCTGGCACTGGTAGCAGTGTTGGTTTGAATATAAGGTTAGTTGCGTATCCTTTACAGGACGTTGTAGAACCAACAGTAACAGCCCCTAGCTGTGGTGTGGTTTCTCTAGGCAATTTACGTCCAGTAGTTTTGGTATGAATATGCTGTTTATAATTTTTTTTGTGCGCTCATACTTATGTTTGGATGTCTAATATAATTTCTTGTAACATCGTCATATATTTTTTGGACAAGTGGAGGTATTTATGGTAGGTTATATAAATGAAGCCAACACTCAAAGATTGATTCTTGAAAGCTTTCTTCCTTTTTTTTAATGAAAGGGTGCCAGTCGGCGAGGTACTTGATAGTGATGATGGTCAAGAAACATTATTGTACGAGCTGTAAGCGTTATAAAACAGGGGAAGTAATTTCATGTCTGGTTCCATCAATGTGTTGATTCTGACCGAAAAGGACATGGGAATATGGTGCCAGGCCGTTAGATTCACGTCCTTTTAATGATACGTAGTTAGTGAAGCAACAGTATGTCAGCAAAACAGGAAGAGATAAATATTTATTTATCATGAACTAAACTAAGAATAGATGCCCGTTAACTGAATCAAAATGAATGACAGTGACACATAACATAGGAGGTCGTGACAATGACAACCGTGACAATGATGTTGCTGTATTCAGGTAACATGTAGAATTGGAATTGCTAAATTTTAAATTAGATACTAGGTAATGAATATACGGTTCTCCTTAAAACTACGGCCACTTATTATGGAGTACGCCGGAGTTCAGTCCCCTGGCCGCATTGTGATTGCAATTACGGAGTGGACAAGAGGGAACGAAACAAATGAGGTAATTTCTGTGTGTTGGCGATAGATGCACTGCTGTCATAATAGGGTTAGGGGTGACCGTAGTTTTAAGGAGTACCAATACCCTAACCCTAACCCTATTATGACAGCAGTGCATCTATCGCCAGCACACAGTAATTACGTAATTTGTTTCTCTCCCTCTTTTCCACTCCGTAATTGCAATGCGGCCAGGGGGACTGAACTCCGGCGTACTCCATAATAAGTGGCCGTAGTTTTAAGGAGAACCGAATATACTCCTATTTCTATTATATATTAATAATAAAATGGAGTAACTGAGTGAACACAAAATACTAAAAGAAATCTGAACATGACATTAATATTGATCATTGATATTCTTTATGGTCCTCTGGAGCAGCATGAGTGAGTCATTTGATCGTACACCTACACAGTGACAAATTGACCGATTGTAGCTTCTTCCGTGGCTCGGTGATTTTGGTCACAGGCATGAGGGAAAATTAAGTCTGGGATGTGTATAAGGAGATACCCAGTACCTCACCTAGGGTGCCATCCTTCTCTGTGCTGGTTTTGCGGAACATCATTCAAGATATCTGCGACTGCTGCGCTGCACGTCCCCAAGGATAATGTCTCAAATGAGCATTAACAAAGCTGGCATGAGATTTTAGAGCTGGTGGCCCCTAAAGATGTAGGATGCAGTCTGACTCTCATCAACCAACCCCCAGTGCATGGGTGAAAACGTCTATCAAAACTCATTTGGAACATGAGGAAAGTTTGCTTGCCAAATGTACCACTAAATGACAACTCTCGGTTAAAAGTCTGTCATGTGAAAGGAAAACTTAACTGCTGAGACTCCTAGACCAAAAGATTTGCCAACATCTTAGACAAGCAACATCTCTTGTGGCTGTTTTCTCGCGATAAAATCCTTCGTACATCCTCTGTCATCACTCAGCATCGTCATCACCGCATTGAGCTACACTATGACAGCCACTGCTAGTCTGTTGGTTAGGCTCAAATGGCACACAAGCAAAGTCTCAATGTCCAACCGTCACAGATCCTACTAATTGGCAATAAGGTTCAGATGCCCGTATCTACTGGCCCTACGTGCCAGAGTGTTGGGACCAAACAAGGTAACCCATGCCTAGTACATGCCTCTCCATACTGTTGTGCAATGGGCACAGTTGAAACAACGTTACAGGTGTCTAACGTGATAAAGAAGGGACCAAACAAGGTAACCCATGCCTAGTACATGCCTCTCCATACTGTTGTGCAATGGGCACAGTTGAAACAACGTTACAGGTGTCTAACGTGATAAAGAAGGGACCAAACAAGGTAACCCATGCCTAGTACATGCCTCTCCATACTGTTGTGCAATGGGCACAGTTGAAACAACGTTACAGGTGTCTAACGTGATAAAGAAGGGACCAAACAAGGTAACCCATGCCTAGTACATGCCTCTCCATACTGTTGTGCAATGGGCACAGTTGAAACAATGTTAAAGGTGTCTAACGTGATAAAGAAGGGACCAAACAAGGTAACCCATGCCTAGTACATTCCTCTCCATACTGTTGTGCAATGGGCACAGTTGAAACAACGTTAAAGGTGTTTAACGTGATAAAGAAGAATATACCTATTTGTGTCGAAGTTCTGGACCTGCAGGCTGCTCACTGCTGATCTCCGGAGGGTGCAGCCCGTGACGAGTGAAAAGCTTAACATATGGTTATGAGGTTAAGCAGTTATGTGCAGGACATGACGATTCCTTGGGTGATCCCAGGACCAGAGCATCATGTGTCAGCTCTGCATTTATGGAAGCCTTTTTGGATGGCGGTGAATGCCCTTGATCTGCCTCTGCCTTCCCTTGATCTGCCTCTGCCTTCCCTTGAAGGCTGACGAGTCTACACGAGGTTGCCCTAAAGGGGTTCCCCAGGGGCAACATCTATAGACATAGGTACAAAGAGGACACCACACAAATAAGGCAACATCATGTCCCAGGAAACAATGGCAACAGCCATCCTATAGATAGGAAGTCCAAAAGGACAAACAACGGGAACTTTCTGCCAGAATTCACAGCCGGTGAACAGAAAGAAAGAAAAAAAAAAATCTTCTTTCTTCAGATTTAGCACCACAGTTTTCTCCAATATGAATTTCCTTCCATTCCTTGATGTTACTTACTTCATTCCTGTCCATAAAACAACCAGCACCTCCCTAGGTTTTCTCCGTCCTAGGGATATCACTGTATACCAGCATATTCTATTTCTATCCTCTCATTCCCTAACCAAACCAGTTAGCAACCTTGTTATTTTTTAGAAGTCAGAGCCAAGATTCCTAATTTTGCTTTTCTCATCTCTCCTATTGTCTTGTTTTCCTTTCTATTAATGCCTTATATGTTCCATAAATTGCAGTTCTCAAGCCATGCCAGGTTGTTACAGTTAAGGTCTCTCCGGTTCTTTTTTCTGTGATAACTTGTAATCATATTTTAAGGCATACAGGTGATTGACCTGTATGGTTGGTGGGCTGCCTCCTTGCAGTCTCCATGCAGGTCATCTGGCTGATTCATGGTTACCAACTGCTTCCGGAGACAGATGAAGCACCCAGGTTCATCTAGACTCTCCTCCTTTTTCAGCCGGGCTTGGGGACCGATTTTAGTGAAAAAAGACGTAAGTCTTATAAAAACAATACTGCCCCTTAACAAACATGTTATAAAAGGTGACGGATTAAGGATTTGCTGAAATTGGATGTGAAGAAGTGAAAAATGTAAACCACAGCAAAGTGTACCAAAATACTCTTCTAAGAGTGAGCACAGAAGAAGAAGATATCCTCAAGGGGTCTCTGCAGCGAAGTAGTGAAGTTGTTTGCCTTGCTCTCTGAAGATCATGGGTTCTTTTCACAGCTAGGTTGTTTGGTTCATGAGTGCAGCTTCTACGGAGATCCATGAGGATTATTACTGAAGCTATGGAGTTCGTGCTTTGTGTAATGCTCTCAGCAGGCGGCTAGCCATTCTGCAGAGAGAGACCAAGCCATATGGACGCCAATACTCTAATCTTTAACTTTTATGTATTCAGTGATGGAAGGAGTATCTGAGAAAGGTGCTCCAAGTGACAAGAAGCTCAAAGTTGTGTGCAGTCAGACAATACATCAAGATCCTGAAACCCAGGCCTTACAGACCTGAGTGGATCAGTCACAGATGGTTTGGTTGTGTATGCAGAGTGGGAAAAATCCACCACCATGGCAGGCATGGGAGACTAGAACCAGGTAAACAGACCTCCAGGGCAACCCAGGGTCTGCTGAGAAGACAACATTAGACAGTCCCTCACTGACAGAGGACTGGATTGGAACAAAGTCAGAAATAAAACTGCTGATAGAGCAGTCTGGCAATCTCTCTGGCAAACCTGTACTCCCCAAGGTAGTAGAGGGGTGACTAAGTCAGTAAGTAAATAACCACACATTCACTTTATCTTTTCCAGGAAAACAGCTTAGCCCTCTTTTCATAAAGTCAGCTGGAGTAAAGAAGTCCTTAATGACGGTCCTTCCACTTCTATCAAGTATACGTGGCTTCGGGCAGCCAGCGGCACAAACACATCCTCATCTTGTAGCCGAGGGCGAGGTGACACCCGGTCTCACAAAAAAGGAATTTCACCAGCGGCGATGCAGTCTTGTCAGATCAGCATTAGAGACGTTCAAAGGCATGAAATCGGTTAACGATCACTTATTTATTATCCCATCGGCTACAACTGTGTACATGATTAATGAGATCCCCTACCCCTTTAGACAGAACACAGATTTTCTTTATTTTTGCGGCTTTCAGGAGCCAGATAGCTTGTTACTTATTGAAGCCAAAACCAGCAAGTCAGTTTCTACCGGTGAGCATGAATCACACCTCTTTGTTCCCCGCAAGGATGCAGCAAAAGAACTGTGGGATGGTCCTAGGTCAGGGGCCGCTGGGGCCATGGAGTTAACAGGTGTTGATACTGCATTTAACTCTGGTGAAATAGAGAAGTACCTACAGTTTTATAATAGCAAGCACAAGGATTTTGTGCTGTGGTACAACCATAGCAAGCCGGTCCATACAGATTTCCATAATCGTATTATCAGTCAGCTGATGCATGATCACAGACACAAGTACCTGGAGAATGTCTCTGAGCTGTGTCAACGTCTCCGTCTTCTCAAGTCTCCGGCAGAGATTCAGCTTATGCAGCAGAGCGCTAAAATTGCATCTGAGGCATTTGTTGAAGTTATGAAATTTTCAAAACCCCAGGTGAAGCATGTTACTATTATAGGAAGCTAGTTAATTTTTTTAAAATTAAGCTGTAATGTGTTTTCTTTACTGTCATATTCAGGAAGCAGTTAATTAATTAATTAATTCATTCATTATCCTGTTGTGCCATTATTTGTCACATAAGGCTCGCAGTATTTTCTCCATTCCATTTTATCCCGTGCAATCATCTCAATATCATGGATAGAATCCGATCCAGCAGCTTTGGCCTCTTTCATCAACGTTCATCTTAGGGTTTTTTTTTTAGGCATCCTCGCCTCCTTAATCCCTTTATTTCCCATTCTAATGCCTGTTTGGTGATTCTGCGCTGGTTTCTTCTCAGGATGTGCCCAACAGAGTGCCATCTTCTCTGTCTTATAACTGTTGATGCTGGTGGCTGCACAGACATTTCTCTTATTTCTTAACTTCTTTTGAATTCATTCCATTTTTTTTTCTTAAGACATTTTTTTTCCACATGCATTTAACTTGTATGGAATTTGGGAGTCATAGTAACACAGTGGCTAGAGGCTTGTCCGCTGGCCTGGAGATCCTGGGTTCAATCTACATCAGTGGATTTAAAACAAAACTGAGGTAGACTCAGGTTCATTGAAGCTAAATTGGGTACCAGGAAATGTCCTTGGAAGTAAAGCTGACCAATGTGATGTTGACCACATTATCGTCGATTGGTTAATTCAAAAAGTTACTAAAAAAGTGTGAAGTTAGCATTATATGCCTGAAGTGTAACGGGATAAAGACTGATAACAAACTTTTTGTTGTTGTTTAACCACACATTTGATTTACAGACCAGTAAGATTAGTTGCGTATCCTTTACAGGACGTTGCAGAACCAACCCCAGCAGCCCCTGGCTGTTGTCTGGTTTCTCTAGGCAAAATTATGTCCAGTAGTTTGCCATTGTTTTCTGGACGGTCAGCTCCCTGATACCAATGTCGAAACCAACGCAAGGCACATGGCCCGCAGCTTGGATCGAACCCGGCACCCCAGCATTACGAAGCGTTCGCATCGACTTAGCCTCAGAGCCGACGCAGACCAGTATACCCTCTTCTTCTTCTTTTGTCAAAATCTGCTTTTGCCGCTAGGCGTCACAGTTTATCAGATGATCGGCAACCAAGCCAGGGCGCGCTCAGTCGCTTCATATGCCGTGATGTTATGAAGTCTCAAGTTGTCCGTGACTCAATCCATATTCTTCTTGGTCTTCCCCTGCCTCTTGGTGTTTCGATTTTCATGGACCAGAATACCAACATATATTAAACCTGTGAAGGGGAGTAATCAATAAAACTAAATGCAGCAAATAAATAATTGGCTTAAATATCTTTGGCCCTTGACAAAACTCGATATCTTGAAAATTACCCAGCCCTGTGACCCAGTCATCTGGTAACATTATGACTGTCATAAAAAATGAAAATAAACAACTACCTATGTTTACCACTATTGCGGAGTAGACTAGGGCTTTTGAGACTGAGGATTTAGGGCTGCATGACTAGTGCTATCACCACGGATGTAGGTTAGAATGTAATCGTTCCTGGTTCTGCTAAATGTTTGTGCAGGAGCATATGAAACAATTTCTGTTAGCTATGCTTTTTCTAAACTAAGCCTTAAACTAAGATTTAATGGGCCAGGAATGCGGCTGTTATGAGGGAATAGTACCAACCGGAAGTGCCAGCTTGGAGTCTCTTGGGTGTGAGACAGTTAAGGGTGATGGAAAAGAAAAAAAAAAAAGAGAATAATTAAAATAACACTTAGAGTGTGGCTAATAGTATTTTTTCATGACCATTTTCCTGCTTTTATATCATATTTATTTAAGCCTGTGGGGGGGGGGGGGGGGGGGGGGGGGGGGTACTTTCACTTAAATTATTTTTTTAAAGACTAAAAGCAGTGAGCCTCATGTGGGTTCTGGCCCCCATTGTAGGGAAAACATCACATTGTAGGGAAAACATCACATTGTAGGGAAAACATCACATTGTAGGGAAAACAACAATAGACCTCCACCTTCCCAACAAGCATGTTTGTAAAAGTTGACTAATTTGTTATTTCCTTCAGAGTGCCTCTGCATGGGAGGCAAGGAACCCACAGTCTGCATATAGATAAGTGTGATATGTAAAACAGATGTGCATGGAACATTCAGGTTCTGGAACAAGTCTAAAGACCAGAGGTGGATGACCAGAAATTTCTGTTGGAGCCAGTAAACGCAAAGAAGAAGAAAAAACTAACAGCAAATCAGTTGTTTATTAATAGTAAGAAACCTGAGTCAGAAAATTATACTGAGACTGTCACTGTTTGCACTCTACCATACAGGTCAATGAAGCGCATCTTTGGGCTAAAATGGACTTTGAATGTAGGCTTCGAGGGGCCGAGTTTTTAGCATACCCACCAGTTGTAGCAGGTGAGTGTGTACTGCCTGGAAATCATCACCATCAAGTGCCTTTCCCATGGCGTAGCTAATCGTGCTTCTGTTAAACACTGGGTATCTAACAATACATCATTTCCTGCTTCAATATTCTCTGTGGTATGATGCAAGACCGTCCACTTTCACATAACTCTGCTAACTTTCTTTTGTTCACTGATTATTTTCAGCTGTTTGTATTTCTATTTTCATGATGTGGCCAGAGAATTTGTTTTCTTTCTGTTTTGTCCTCTTTTTGGAACTGCTGTGGTGTGGAGGTCAGGGGCTCATGTGTGGATCTGAATGTCATGGATTCAAATCCAGATGGGAGCTGAACTTTTTTTCAGAATGACCTTGGCTGCAAGATTGACCCAGCCTAAAGTCTAAATTCCAGAGGTGGATGAACAGCTAGAACTTTCCGCTGGAGTTTAAGGCTGGTAAATGCGAAGAAGAAGAAGATGGTAATTCAGGAGATGACAGTGAATTTGTAACCTTGACAAAACTGCCGGATCTTCATGTCAAAAGAGATGTCGCAACGTGTCGCAAGACATGAACACTGTACAGGTAGTCAAAGAAGGATAGTAAATGAACATCCGTCATCATCTCAGTCTGCCTCTCCCTCTTCTACCACTAATCTTCCCAGTTGTCACAATATTCTCCAAAATGTTTTTTCCCTTTCCATGACCAAAGAACAGTGCTTGTCTTTTCCTTATAGCTGTATATATTGAAAGTGCTAATATGTCTATATAAATCTGAGTACAGCATCATATACCTAAGGCATCAAGGAAATGAAAAAAGGGAGGGGGACAGAAAAAATGTGCACGTATACTACTGAATCTCTTGGTTCTCAGCCAGAGTCTTTATCAACAGACAAACAGAACTGGTGTTATCTTCCCCACATGCTGAGGGAGATACTGAAGATGGGATCAGAGCACTTATGGACTTTCATAATGTGCGATGAGGATAATTTGTCCAATTCTACCATGCCTTTTGTAGACTTTTTCATGAATGGTTGGTCTTTGTAAACAGTTTTTCTGCAGAATGAGATAGCTAGTCCCATGCCAGCCTTCCTGAAATGTTTCTTATGACATACATGGTAGGTTACAATGTTACTCTTCGATAACATAAGAGTAACAAGTATTATTCGTAGAAAGTTTATTGTCTTCCGAGGAGTAGCTGGTCAAGTGGTTAAGAACTCTGATTTCTCATTCAGGAGGCCCATGTTCGAATCCTTGGTAAGATGAAGGGATTTACTGCTGGGTGCTAGGAAAAAAGTCCTAATCTGCAGTCTGTTGCAACTACACTAGAGACCCCCTGTCCTCAACTGCCCTCAAAAATGCTGAATACGGGCAGTAAAAATGACCCCTTGTTTCAACTCAGATGAAATGGTCGTATAGAGTTAGACTTCTATTGTATTGACCAGTTGGCTCTTGGTGGGTGGTGCATTCAGCAACATGCTGGCCACCTTTCGTTTCCAGCACTTTACCCCACACCCAGTGGGTCCACCTGGCACCCAGTTCAGACTGGGTCCACCTGGCACCCAGTTCAGACTGGGTCTACCTGGCACCCAGTTCAGACTGGGTCCACCTGGCACCCAGTTCAGACTGGGTCCACCTGGCACCCAGTTCAGACTGGGTCCATGTCCCCTGTGTGGGTTCTGGGGCCCTATTGTGGGGAAAACAAGAATAGACCCACTGCCTCCCCAAAAGCATGTCGTAAGAGTCGACTAACTGGGGAGCTTCCTTTGAAGTCGGAGTGCATCTGCCTGAGAGGCAAGGAACCAGCAGTCTACATTCAATTGAATCAGATCTGTAAAACTGATGCACACGCAACACTCAGGTTCTGGAGCAGGACTGCAGTCCAGAAGTGGACGAACAACCAGAACTTTACGCCAGAGTGTACAGCTGGTGAACGCAAAGAAGAAGAAGAAGAAGAAGACTGGGTCCACCTGGCACCCAGTTCAGACTGGGTCCACCTGGCTGCCAAGATAATTTCTGGAGAGGAAAAAAAAAGTATGGCTCCATTGATATACAGGCAGAAAATAAGTTTTTTTTTTCTCTTCAAAATTGTCTTCCTTTCTGGAAGGAGCCACCTTGGTGTAGTAGCTAGTCACTCACCTGCGGATCCAAAGGTGGTGGGTTTAAATCCAAATTGAGCTGAAATGTTTTTACAAATGTCTTTGGCTTCCAGGTCGACCCAGCCTTAGATGGGTATCTGGTAAATTTCAGGGAAGTAAAGGCAGGCTACAGGATGTTGACAACATCGCCCGCAGAGTGTAGATTGATCTATAAAATCGTGATTTTGTTCATACATGACCTTGAATCCCAGGTTGACCCAGCCTGAAATGGGTAACAGGTAAAATTATGGGAAATAAAGGCGGCCAGCGTGATGTTGGCGATATCACCCACTGTATGCCTATTGGTCTATAAAAATATGACCTCATATGCCCAATGTGCCACTGCTGTCTAAAGGGACCTTCACTTTACTATATGCGCAGTACATCTGAAGGTGTGGAAAAGGGACCTTTACTTTACTATATGCCCAGTACATCTGAAGGTGTGGAAAAGGGACCTTTACTTTACTATATGCCCAGTACGTCTGAAGGTGTGGAAAAGGGACATTTACTTTACTATATACCCAGTACATCTGAAGGTGTGGAAAAGGGACCTTAACTTTACTATATGCCCAGTACATCTGAAGGTGTGGAAAAGGGACCTTTACTTTACTATATGCCCAGTACATCTGAAGGTGTGGAAAAGGGACCTTTACTTTACTATATGCCCAGTACATCTGAAGGTGTGGAAAAGGGTCCTTTACTTTACTATATGCCCAGTACATCTGAAGGTGTGGAAAAGAGACCTTTACTTTACTACATGCCCAGTACATCTGAAGGTGTGGAAAAGGGACCTTTACTTTACTATATACCCAGTACATCTGAAGGTGTGGAAAAGGGACCTTTACTTTACTATATGCCCAGTACATCTGAAGGTGTGGAAAAGGGTCCTTTACTTTACTATATGCCCAGTACACCTGAAGGTGTGGAAAAGGGACCTTTACTTTACTATATGCCCAGTACATCTGAAGGTGTGGAAAAGGGACCTTTACTATATGCCCAGTACGTCTGAAGGTGTGGAAAAGGGACCTTTACTTTACTATATACCCAGTACATCTGAAGGTGTGGAAAAGGGACCTTTACTATATGCCCAGTACATCTGAAGGTGTGGAAAAGGGACCTTTACTTTACTATATGCCCAGTACATCTGAAGGTGTGGAAAAGGGACCTTTACTTTACTATATGCCCAGTACATCTGAAAGTGTGGAAAAGGGACCTTTACTATATGCCCAGTACATCTAAAGGTGTGGAAAAAGGACCTTTACTTTACTATATGCCCAGTACATCTGAAGGTGTGGAAAAGGGACCTTTACTTTACTATATGCCCAGTACGTCTGAAGGTGTGGAAAAGGGACCTTTACTATATGCCCAGTACGTCTGAAGGTATGGAAAAGGGTCCTTTACTTTACTATATGCCCAGTACGTCTGAAGGTGTGGAAAAGGGACCTTTACTATATGCCCAGTACATCTGAAGGTGTGGAAAAGGGACCTTTACTTTACTATATGCCCAGTACACCTGAAGGTATGGAAAAGGGTCCTTTACTTTACTATATGCCCAGTACGTCTGAAGGTATGGAAAAGGGACCTTTACTTTACTATATGCCCAGTACATCTGAAGGTATGGAAAAGGGTCCTTTACTTTACTATATGCCCAGTACATCTGAAGGTGTGGAAAAGGGACCTTTACTTTACTATATGCCCAGTACGTCTGAAGGTATGGAAAAGGGTCCTTTACTTTACTATATGCCCAGTACACCTGAAGGTGTGGAAAAGGGACCTTTACTTTACTATATGCCCAGTACATCTGAAGGTGTGGAAAAGGGACCTTTACTATATGCCCAGTACATCTGAAGGTGTGGAAAAGGGACCTATACTATATGCCCAGTACATCTGAAGGTGTGGAAAAGGGACCTTTACTATATGCCCAGTACATCTGAAGGTGTGGAAAAGGGACCTTTACTTTACTATATGCCCAGTACATCTGAAGGTGTGGAAAAGGGACCTTTACTTTACTATATGCCCAGTACATCTGAAGGTGTGGAAAAGGGACCTTTACTATATGCCCAGTACATCTAAAGGTGTGGAAAAGGGACCTTTACTTTACTATATGCCCAGTACATCTGAAGGTGTGGAAAAGGGACCTTTACTTTACTATATGCCCAGTACATCTGAAGGTGTGGAAAAGGGACCTTTACTATATGCCCAGTACATCTAAAGGTGTGGAAAAGGGACCTTTACTTTACTATATGCCCAGTACATCTGAAGGTGTGGAAAAGGGACCTTTACTTTACTATATGTCCAGTACATCTGAAGGTGTGGAAAAGGGACCTTTACTTTACTATATGCCTAGTACGTCTGAAGGTGTGGAAAAGGGTCCTTTACTTTACTATATCCCCAGTACATCTGAAGGTGTGGAAAAGGGACCTTTACTTTACTATATGCCCAGTACATCTAAAGGTGTGGAAAAGGGTCCTTTACTTTACTATATGCCCAGTACATCTGAAGGTGTGGAAAAGGGTCCTTCTTTTTTTAACCTGCATTGAACCTTGTTCGTATATGATTTCTCTTGTCACCTGGTAATAGTACATCATTGTCTTCTTGTCACCAGGTAATAGTACATCATTGTCTTCTTGTCACCAGGTGGAGCTAGAGCCAACATAATTCATTACATCACAAACAACCAGGTCATTGCTGGTGGGGAGATGGTTCTGATGGATGCTGGCTGCGAGTTTCATGGCTATGCTAGTGACATCACACGCACCTGGCCTGTCTCAGGTAAGCTGTGGTGTGGTGGTTCGGTATCTGGGGACAACATTCACCGAAGATGGGAGATTGGATAAGGAAATTAACATCATATGCAGTAGAGCAAAACGTATATTGGGACAGCTAGCCCCCCCCCCCCCCACACACACACACACACACACCCCAATCCACCCATACAGCATAGGACAATCTTGATCAGCACAAACATCTCAAATAAAGCACATTTCATTATCATTCTCATCTTGTGCTACCAGTGCTAGACATGGACACTCACAATGAACCAGAAATGAAAATTAATGACCATAGAAATGAGATGTCTGAGAACAGCTGCAGAAGCGAACAGAAGAGATGTAATCAGGAATGAGCTGATATGAAAATACAACATATCAAGGCAGAACTTTTGGCTAAGAGAAACACAGGTGCAAGCCCAACATTACGGGTCACTGAGTGAATGACAAAAGACAGTAAAGTTCATACTAGAGACAACATTGCAGATATAGATAATCTGTTTCCAGCTAACAAAAGAAGAAGGAGAAGAAGCTGAAAAGAGAAAAAGTTGGTACAGAACCATTTCTGAATTACATTTAAGAGAATGCCATATGATGCCATACCATACAGGGCATTCAACAAAAGGGGAGAATTATGTAGAGCACAAGGTAGACCAAGAACAAGATGGAAAGGTAACAGAGAAATTATACAACTGCACAATGTGTCTGTAGTTAAGGTGGCCAGAAGAGCAACAAGCAGAACCCTATGTCTCCCTCGACACCCGAAGTGGTAAAAAAAAAAAGGAAGTGAAGAAGAAGAAGAAGACAGGAATACACCAGCTGCCCACCTTACTCGAGCTTGAGCTTAGAGAAAGAAAGGAAGGCTCTGCAACACAGTCCCTCTGGAGGTGGAACTTTACAATTGGGTTGGATAGAATGTCTTTACACTAAACTCCCTCTAATAGACACAAACCATTTTCAAGGTTCTGTCAGTCTGAATGCTAAGTGTTAAAATGTTTCTCATATAAAGATGGAATTCCATATCTCTTGTATATAGATGTGATCCCATATCTCTTGTGTAAAGACAAGAAGATCACATGTATCTTTTGAGTGCTTTCTTAATATCCCACCCCAAACAGGGGAAATCTACAGGTCACTGGACAGTCTAATATTTTAGCTGGTGGTAGATAGGCTGCATGCAGTCGTGGAACCCAGGCTGCACTCTTTCGTGGGATGTAGGTGGGTTTGGGCCAGGAAACCAAGTCTTACCACCCTCTAAAATGTTGGACTGTCCTGTGATGTCATCTGGGGTAGGATTTTACAAAAGAACCCTCTTTTGTATTATTAAACTTGTTCCCTGTGTGGGTTCCAGGGTCCCATTTGGGGCGGTGATGGGAAAGAATAGACTCATTGACCCCTAACAAGTATGTTGTAATGGTGCATCTGCCTGAGAGGCCGGGAACCAACAGTCTGCATACAAATAAGCCAGACTTGTACAACAGATGTGCAGGCAAAACTCAAGTTCTAGAGCAAGAACAACTAGAACCTTCATCTGGGGTTTACAGCCGGTGAATTATATTAATGGGATCCCATATCTTTTGTACATAAACATGATCCCATATCTTTTTTACACAAACATGATCCCATATCTCTTGTTCATAAACATGATCCTATATCTCTTGTACATAAACATGATCCCATATCTCTTGTTCATAAACATGATCCTATATCTCTTGTACATAAACATGATCCCATATCTCTTGTTCATAAACATGATCCCATATCTCTTGTACATAAACATGATCCCATATCTCTTGTTGTACATAAACATGATCCCATATCTCTTGTACATAAACATGATCCCATATCTCTTGTACATAAACATGATCCCATATCTCTTGTTGTACATAAACATGATCCCATATCTCTTGTTGTACATAAACATGATCCCATATCTCTTGTACATAAACATGATCCTATATCTCTTGTACATAAACATGATCCCATATCTCTTGTACATAAACATGATACCATATCTCTTGTACATAAACATGATCCCATATCTCTTGTACATAAACATGATCCCATATTCCTTGCATACTGATGTGATGCCATATCTTTTGTTTATAGACATGATCAAATATTTCATGTACAAATGTGATTCGCACATCTCTTGTATGTATGTATGTATGTATGTATGCATACATACATATATATGATATATATGATCTTACATCTAACCCTGGTCACTTTCACAGGTCACTTCACAGAACCACAGAGGAAGCTGTACAATGCCACACTACGAGTTCAAGAAGCCTGTATACGTATGTGCACCACAGAGTTCTCACTAGACGACATTTACAATCATATGTTAGTGCTTCTGGCCGCAGAGCTAACACAGCTGGGAATCATCTCCCCTGATTGTTCATATGATCAACGATTGAATGTGAGTGAGCCATTTGAATTTTTGGTCTCAGGTTAATTAATTGTAGTTTAAGTATGGTCTCGAGGCATGGCATCCGCCTTGAGTGCTGGAGGTCTCGGGTTCAGACCCCGGTGAAGGCTGGGATTTTTTAAAATGGACTTCTGATAATTTTTCTTGGTCTCTGGGTAGTAAGATCAGACGCCTGCATGTATTATTGGGCACGTAAAAAATCACGTGGCAGTTGGAAATCGAAAAGAGTAGCCTAACGTCACTGCCTGGGCAAAAGTTGGAGTTAAAAATCTACCCAAAGTATTTCAGGATCCTCGCCGGTGCTACCGAGTTCGTGCACTGTGCTGAGATTCTTCAGACTCAGGCTTGAGGTAGAAGTAGCACTTATGGGTTGCTACTCTTGTGCCATGATGTTGAGCTATTGAAAAAACATAACCAAACCAAAGAAGTTGAGGTAAAAAAAAAAATTTAAAAATTGACACACACACACACACAAAAGGGGGGGGGGGGAATTTCAGAGGTAGTGAACCACATGGTGGTGCCTCAAAACCAGGGCTCATATTGGTCAAGCCCTGCCTACACCTCTTCATGGTCGTCTTAGAGACAGGTTCCTTACTGTGAGGGCCTGGCCAACATAGACAGGATCAACGTTTCCGTCAAAGTCAGAGTTCATCTGCCCAAGAGGAAAGGAACCAGCAGTCTGCACATACATGAGCCAGATCTGTAAAATGGATGTGGGTCTGTATCAGAGGTCTCCAACCATTTTCAGCTGACATCTCCCTTGAGTGTGTGTGTGTGTATGTATATATATATATATATATATATATATATATATATATATATATATATATATATATATATATATATATATATATATATATATATATATAAGAAAGTGGGTCTATATTAGTGGTCTCCAACTGTTTTCAGCTGACATCTCCTTTTCTTTAACCAGTTTAAGAAACCCAGAACTACAACCTATTATATATAGCTAAAGCATCATCTGTATAAAAAGCTACAACTTTTTCTAGTGAAAGTAAAATTTTTTTTTTTAAATCAATAGCAAAAACACATCACAAGTTTCTGATGTTGCTTCTAAACATTTCGAGAAAAAGCATTTCTTCTTTTGCATTTTCTTTATATATAAATCAACAATATGCTATAACACTCAAGTTCTGGAAGAAGGCCAAAGAAATGGATGAACAACCAGGACTTTCTGTCGGAGTTTACAGTGGTCAATGTGATGAAACTCTACAGTAACTTTTATTTAGTTCACTTGATAATTGAACAACTGGTAAGGACTCCTTTTACAAATTTTCCATTTCATGTTGAACTTGTTGGTAGTTTAATTACCATTTGTTTTGTCTGTTGATAAAGACTCTGACTGAGAACCAAAAGATTCAGTAGTATATGTGTACGTTTTGTTGTTGTCCTCCTCCCTTTTTCATGTCCTTGATGTCTTAGGTATGTGATGCTGTACTCAAATTTATATAGACATATTAGCACTTTAATATATACATATACATCATCAGTTCTTTTTATGCCTAGTGGCACATGAGGCTTCAGAGAGGACTTTCCATGCTTTCCTGTCCTTGCAATCTTCAGTGCAGTTTTCCATGTCAAAGATGCCACACTCAAGTCACTTTCCATCGTTCGTCTCCATGTTGTTTTTGGGCGCCCCTGTTTTCTCTTTCCCTCTGGTGTCCATGTGAGAGCTGTTTTGGCAGGGATATCAGGGTTCATTCTCATAACGTGGCCAAGCCATTTCCATCTTCTCTTGGTTATCATACTGTCTAAAGTTTCTTGGTTTGTGACTTGAAGTAGTTTAGTGTTTGAGATTGTATAATTTTGATAATTCTACATAGACATGTGTGGTGGAAGGTGGACAGCTTGTGTACATCCTTTTTGGTCATTCTCCAGCATTCCGCTCCATAAAGAAGAACTGGCAAATTAATGCTCTTGTAGAGTCGGAGCTTTGTTCCTCTACATTAACTGTTGCATTTCCAGATTTGCCTCATCCTTCCAAAAGCAGCTCTAGCTTTTTTCAGACCTGACTGTATGTCTTCTTCGGTCCCTCCCGGTAGGGACACCACACTGCCAAGATATGTGAAATGTTCTATATTTTCAAGAGTTTGGTTATTTATGATCAGGTTGCTGGTTTTAAAATATACAGCTATAAGGAGAAGACAAACACTGTTCTTTGGTCATGTGGAGAATATTGTGACAACTGGAAATATCAATGGAAGAAAATGGAGAGGCAGACTGAGAGGGATGATGACGGATGGATTGCAGTGATGGCCCTGAGGGATATCATTGGTGGCACAGAGGAAAATCATCGGTGACACCGAGGGATATCATCGGTGGCACTGAGGGATATCATCAGTGGAACTGATTCAGAGGACAAGGGACCCAGATCTGTGGACATGCATGAATGCCTGTGTCAGTCGGCAGGGCAAGTGAGGATGATGATGATATTAGCACTTGATGTCCCCACATGGGTTCTGGGGCCTTATTTTTTGAAAAAAATTATTCACTTCCCTAACCCTGCCTCCTCCCCCCCCCCCCCCAACAAGCATCTAATTAAATTTGACTAATTAGGTGCATTTCCTTTAATGTCAGAGTACATCTGCCTGCCGACAATCTACATTTAAAAAAGCCAGATCCTTACAATGGGTATGCACGCAAAACTCAAGTTCTGTAACGAGATAAAAGTCCAGAAGTGGATGAACAACCAAAACGCCCTACCAGAGTTCACAGCGGGTAATGCCAAGCAGAAGAAGAGGCACTTGATGGGTGGTGTGGTCAGTATACTAGCTGCCTTTACTTTCAAGTTTATTTTGTGGTACCCAGCCAACTAACTGACCGCCTGACTAGCTAACGATTGTGTGACCAGGAGTACAACATTTTGAAGCACATCTATGTCGCCTTCAAAGCAGAGATAGGAGACATTATAACCAGATTTTCCTGGGAATAATCAGTAAAGGTATTTTGGAGTGGCTGCTGCCTCGGAGGACTGCGGATGCATGGAAATGCCCAATATGCAGTGATGTCGATTGTGATACCCCCTGCCCCGACATTTTCCTCTTGAACCATCTTGTTTTGAGTTTAACTGAATAAGGTAGTTAAGGAAGTGTTTTTTTTTTTTTTTCAGCTGGCTCGCCAGTTCTGTCCCCACCATGTCAGCCACTACCTGGGCATGGATGTCCATGATACCAGCAGTGTGTCCCGCAAGATCAAACTACAGCCAAACATGGTGGTCACTGTGGAACCTGGTGGGTTATCCTTGTCTTCTGTGTTGTCTGTATGGTGCTGACTCTCTCTGTGTCTGTCTGACTCTCTCTCTCTCTCTCTGTTTTGTTTTTCTGTGTTTGATGTTGCTTTTTTTTTTTCTGTATGTATGTGTATGTTGCTCTCTGTCTCTCTGTGCATATCTTTCTCTCTCTCTCTCTCTCTCTCTCTCTCTCTCTCTCTCTCTCTCTCTCCTCTCTCTCTCTCTCTGGGGTGGTGATGGTGGAGGTGTGTGGGTGGGTTTGGTTTCTTTGATTTGGTTTATATATGTGTGTGTGTACCTGCATGCATATATGCGGATGGGTTTGTGTGAGTAACACTGTTCTGAATGCATGTGTATGTATGTGTGCATGCATGCATGTGCATAGGGCTGACTGGTCACGTTATACAATAAATTTTAATTGTTTCACCTTGACCGTATGTGAAGGGATTTTTTCAGTTGTTTCAGACATTTTATTAGAAGGAATGTACCTGAGAACTTGGTGATGGCTAGCAAGATTGATGGGACAAGAGGAAGTGGAAGGCAAAGAGATAAATACCTGGATGGGCTTGACCGAGACAAGAATACTGACATGATCAGTGATTCTGGTGATCGTATGAGATGGTGAAACTGGACATCCTGCACTTGTTTGTTGTAATGCCAGGTGATGATATATAAAGAACACTGGATTATGTGTTTTTCCTAAGAATACCACATATTGTTTTACTTCTCTGTGTGGGCTCCGGGGGCTGCATTTTGGGGAAAACAAGAACAGACGCACTGCCTCCCTAACAAGCACGTCGAAAGAGTCAACTAATTAGGGGTTTTCCGTCAAAGTTCGGAGTACATCTGCTTGAGAGGCAAAGAACCAACAGTCTGCATACAAATAAGCCACATCTGTCAAACAAATTTGGCACTGAAGTTCTGGAACTTAAGTCCGGTAGTCCCCCGTGTGGGTTCCGGGGCCCCATTGTGGGGAAAACAAGAATAGACCCACTGCCTCCCCAAAAGCATGTCGTAAGAGTCGACTAATTGGGGAGCTTCCTTTGAAGTCGGAGTGCATCTGCCGGAGAGGCAAGGAACCAACAGTCTGCATTCAATAGAATGAGATCTGTAAAACTGATGCACACGCAACACTCAGGTTCTGGAGCAGGACTGCAGTTCAGTAATGGACGAGCAACTAGAACTTTCCGCCAGAGTGTACAGCTGGTGAACGCGAAGAAGAAGAAGAAGAAGTCCGGTAGTGGATGAATGACTAGAACTTTTCTCTGAAGTTAACAGCCTGTGAACCAAAGAAGAAGAAGAGTAATAATACCATGTAATGATGACCTCCTGTGATTCTGTGTTTTAATGTTTCTTTTATCTTGTTTCCTTCATTGTGTTGCTGGCTCAGGAATCTACATCCCCGAGGATAACTACAAAGTGAGTCTGGAATTCCGAGGTATGGGAATCAGAATTGAAGACAACATTTTGGTAACAGAGACGGAACCAGTCAACCTGTCTGCATCTTGTCCGAAACGAGTTGAAGACATTGAAAGTATTATGTCAAACAGATGAGTGTAAGCATTTTAGTGTTCAAGTTAAATTCACAACGATGTTGTGAGAGTTACAATCATGAATACAACAATGTCTAAAGTGTACAATATATGAATGACTTTATAAAAGGAATATGAGGCTTTTATATGAGTGATGTAATTGTTTATGAATGACTGTAAATTGTGGTGTACAAGTTGACCTACAGATTTGTAGCTAAGAATTCAGAGCTATTCGGGTTTGTACCTAGCTAATGCATTCTATACCCACCATATAGGTCACTATTTCGAACACGTCAAGAGCCATGGTGGTCTGAAGGGAAGGATGTTGGATGCCGCATTTTTGGAAAAGGATGCAGGTGCCAACCTCTGCAGATGTGGACGACACACGACATTGAAGATGCATTGGCTATGAAAGCACATAAGGCTGGAGAACTGGCTGGACAAAGAGAGACTCGCAAGCAGGCTGTGAAGAGAATGATGTTCTGTAAAGGATCTGCTGATAGATTGATATAAGTTGACCCCCTAGTTTTAGAAAGATGTTTTAGTCTTGAAAACTCTATTTATATACTGCAGTTTATGGCACGTGTCTAAAGTGTTTTAACATTCTTAAGGTTTTATTTAAATGATATAAGTGTTTAACTTTTCTTCTTCTTCTTCTTCTTCTACACGTTCACTAGCTGTAAAATACATCCACCTCCAGTCTTTAGTCTTGTTCCATAACCTCAGTGTTGCAAACACATTCGTTTTATACATCTACCTTATTTGTATGCAGGCTCTTGGTTCCTTGCCTCTCAGGTAGTTGTAATCCGACTGTCAAGGATGTCCCTAATTAGTTGACTTCTACGACATGCTTGTTGGCTAGGCAGGGGGTCTATTCTCCATTTTTTCCCCCCACTCTGTTTTGATTTAGGTTATGCAGCTGGCACTAAAGACATCTGCATAGTTGGTCTTCAGTAATCTTTGGTCGTGCACTTAATCCACTGGGGACCATAAACTGGGATGTCTCTCTAAAGCTTAGTTATCAGGTCTACTAGGTATGACTGCATATTTTCTTGGCACCAGGAAAGGACAGTATTACATTTGTGTGGAACTATTCAGTGTGCTCCTATTTTTGACTGTCCTCTCCTGGAGGAGCTGCCAGTCAACATGTGGGTACACCCAGGAGACCTGACAACTACGCTTTGGGGGGAACCAGAGAGACCCTGAGCAGTTTATGACCTACAGTGTACTATGCTCATGATCAGAAATCGCTGAAGAAGAAGAAGAAGATAAAAGTGCAAGTAGATAAGATCTAACTCTAATAACCTGGCACGGCCACTGTTTTGAGCCGTGGCAAATTTTTTGCTTCTGCCAGACGGTGGCCGTTGCATTTTTGCTCCATTTGTAGACTGAAAGGATATAGTTTTATTGCCCAGCTTCTGAGTTGAGTGCATGGAGTGACACTGTGAGCTGTGAATTTTCATTTGGAATGTTTTTCTACTGTGACCAACATGGTGGTGAGAATTGTAGATTCAAAAAATGGCGTGATGCCGGTTTTCACAATATTGGTGGTGTCATTATGTGATTAAAATTGATCGCGTGTGCAACTGCTGATCTGTGGTGACTTCTGCTGGTGCTACCATCCATGATGAACTGCATTTCTAATGTCGGACTGTTTGTGTTAGCACTTCTGATGGCTACCGTATGCTTTCAATGCGTGTGTATGCTAGTGCATATGCTAGACAGCAGTCTGTCAATCTTTCCACAAGGAACTGTGATAAACATGCTGTGTGTTTTTAGTTGGCACAGGAGCGGTGCAACTATGGGGTTACCCGTTTGCTATAAGGCTGAAACTAAGATTACCAGATAACCAGAGAATAAAAAGATGATGATAAGATGATAGTTTTATCCTGTCGGATTAAAAATAAACAGCCAAGCATGCACAGTTTTTAGAGGTGAAACTAATCATGCAGTCCTTAATCTCAGCTTAAGACCACCACGCGGAACTTAATCCTCACGTTCAAGACCTTTCAGTGTGCTTAATCTCCAGGTTTACGACCTTTCTAAACTGCTCTGCCATAACAAGTTGTATATCTTCTTTTGTCCTACAACTTATGCAGCAAAATGTCACGTCAGAGAAGTTATAGTTTCCTGTCTTTTGCTAGCTGGATAGCTTGTATTTACGTAATATTGCATTTCTGTAGTGTCTCATTTACTCCCTCCACCCATCTCTTTCTTGGTTGGCCTCCTGATCCGTAACCTTTGTTCCCATGTAGTATGTTCTAGCTGCTGGCTGATTTTGTTCCGTTCTGAACAGATGATCAAACCATTTGATTCTTGGATGTTATATGAAATCATTTACCCAATCTGTGCCCAACATTATTCTTATTTTTGTTGTTGCTGACTCTGCCTCTCCTTGTTTTTCCAGCTGCCTTTACAAGTTGTAAATACATGCAGCAGAGACAGTTTTAATTTGGTTTAACTGGTTAATTTGGTTTAACTGGTTAATTTGGTTTAACTTAGCAACTAATGTGAACTAAAAGTTCCCCTTAATAATGAGGATTATCATCATCATCATGTGGCAGGTGCTGTGCAAAATTTTGTTGTCATCCTGGCATGCCTAAAAGCCCTTACTTCTTTCTTCTGTCTTTCTAGCCCCCAGTGGAGCATAGGCCCTTAACCAACTCACGCCAAGTCGTTGTATCTTTTGCTGTCGCATGCAGCTCTCCCCAACTTTCTAACTTCATTCTCCAGCTCCCTTCTCCATATTTTTGTGTGTGGCCTTCCTTTATTCCTATGCCCCTGTAGATTCCAGTGCAAAGACATTCTAGTTATATTGTTCTCCGGTTTTCTCAACAGTGTATCTTATCCAACGCCAGCATCTTTTCTTCACCTCTTGGTCCACTGGAGCTTGCTTAGCTTTTTCCTAAAGCTCTCTACATTAGTGATTCTAGCATACCATTTAATTCCCTCTATTCCGCGCAGGCACCAGTTGAATAATGTCTTTAGTTTATTAGTAATTGCCGTGAAAGCCACTTAGTGGTGTTGTATTTTAATAACTGTTGAACTCTTCAGTGTGCTTCTGTTTTAGAGATACGCATATAACACTAATACCTGTGCCGAAGAAAAGATTGCACCAAGATGACTACATTAAGTTTAGCTTTACAGTGTTAGATAGTAAAGACAAGCAACAACTTCAGTGTGTTGTCTGCCATTGTGTTCTCAGTAATGATGCAATAAGACTTGTACACGTACACTTGGCAAGAGATGAAAGTACAGCACATCCACAGTTAATCAATAAACCTGCAGAATATGTTGCTAATAAACCAAACTCCCTAAAACGGATGAAATTGGATTCAAGTGGTTCACTCAACTGAATGAAAAGGCTATTGGACACATATGAACTGATCTTACTAGTAGCGAAAGAAAGCACAAACAGTTGGAGACTTGCTTGTTGAATATTGCATTTTATTAGCTGCAAATATTGTTTTGGGTGATCCAAGTCATGAACAATTATCACAAATATTCTTTTCTGGCAGCCTGGGATAGAAGACCTGGCAGAAGATGTAGAAAATCAAGTTGCTGAAAGGTGAAAATGTTGCCAGTTTTTCAATCCAGTGTAATGAAATCACTAATTTGGCGCAGTGTTGTCATTTTATAGCATATTGTTGATTTATGTATAAAGATAATGCAAAAGAAGAAATGCTTTTTCTCAAAAATGTTTAGAAGCAACCTGTGATGCGTTTTTACCATTGATAAAAAAAAAAAAAAAAAACTGTACTATCACTGGAAAAAGTAGTAGCTTTTTAATACAAATGATGCTTCAGCTTTATATAATAGGTTGTAGTTCTGGGTTTCTTAATTAAACTGGTTAAAGAAAAATTCCCACATTTCAAACATTATTGGAACCTATTGTGTCATTCAGACAGGCTGTGGCAGCCAAAACTTTGCCGCAGGATCTAAATGATGAACTGAAAATAGCTGTATGATGTAATTTGACATGTGATGTCAATCCCATTGAACACAAGACTCTTTCGGGCTCTTTGTGATGACCTTTGGTCCTGCCATATATATATAGACTCTCAAGGATGTCAGCTGCAAATAGTTGGAGACCACTGATATACACCCACCTGCTGTACCATATAGTAGTATTTTTCAAACTTTTCTTGGTCGCGGCGCCTTTTTTCAATTAAATTTTTCCACGGCGCCCTAACCTAAGTAAAAGTATGACTATTCGTGTCGTGGTTAAATTAATTATGAAGCTTTTACAATATTTTGCGGTGCCCCTGTGAAGGGGTCGTGGCTCCCCGGGGCGCCACAGCAAGTGTGTTCCATTTGGATGCTTGGTCCAAGACTGACTTATCTTGTTTCCATGGCGACACATAGTTCCTGTGGTTTGCATGTACCCCATGATACTCACTTTTGTGTGTCTTGTGGTCAGTTTTATTAATTCAACCCCCACACAGAGGGTCTTTCTTCTTCTACCCTTCATCTTCCGCCTCCCCCTCTCAGCTCAGCAAACTCATTCTATCCTTTACTGTTGTTGCCTGCAGCCTCACCCCATGTCCTAACAGTCTTTTAAATTTCACTCTTTTAGCTTCCTTTTACAATTTTTTTTTCCCTTCAATGCCCCCTTGGGTTCCAGTGCAAAGACATTCTAGGATATACAACACATATTCATAACAGGCAACTCTTAGAAAGTCATGTGAAAAACATGTTTATTTGTCAACAAACAATCACACAATTTATAAAATAACATTCTCAGTATTTATTTATAGTGTTGTGTTAAAAAAACAACACACACAAATAAACGACTCATTTTATTATATAACACATGGCAAAATGTCTTGAGGAACTCCAGAGTTATGAAAGACGTGAAAGTTAGCAAGCAAAACAATGTACAGAACATATTTTCAGTGCCTCTCTGTTGAAAACATGACAAAAGTTTCCTGCCTGATTTAAATGTTTAAATCAGAGGTTTGTTTGCCTGCTTGAATTTACACTCAGTAAACAGGATGCGCCACAAGTTTTCCCAAACACAGG